ACCGGCCGGCCAGTCTGCTGCAGCGAACGCTGTCTGTGCCAAACCAATACTTTCAATATGGAGGGGGTGTACGAGCGACCCCTCCCAACTTGGACCAATCTTCGTTTTTGCTGAAATCTGATTGGTTTAACAGGGCTGATCAAAGAAGTTTACTTTCCGTTTGGAGCCAGTTTACTCTCCAAACCTTTCGTCGGGGCTGAAGGGCTGTGTGATAGGCTCAACAGAGCCGGTAAATGTGGAGAAGAGAGTAAAAGAGGGAAAAGAAATGTGTGATGCCAAAAAATAAGAATTAAGAAGAACAAATGTTGGCATAAGAGGCAGCTAAATGTGCCAGATTAACCGAGGAATCTCTGTATGAATATTAGCTGTGGAGGTGATGCACAGGGACAGGGTGATGATGAGCCCAGTCATGCTGAGGAGGAGGGAGAGAAGGGACAGGAGGAGCAGCAGGAGGAGAAGGTAAATGGAACCAGACAAAACAGAGAAAGGTACAGGGGCAGTGTGTTTTTAGAATTACAGAATGGATTATTGTAAGTCATATTTATTAGTGATCTTCTTCTCGTGCATTTGTAACTGTACAACCAGTAAAAGCAGAGGGTCAGCACAGGAGCCAGGGAGGCCTACTCAGAGATAAAGATGAGGCATTTTATGCACACACATTGCTGTATTTTATGGGAATGTATTGTAGTTTTTGACTATATTTAAGTATTTCAGCCCTCTGACTGACTCAGGCTTGCCTGACCTGGTCTTGTTCAGTGCAGAGCTGCTTTGCTTATACAAACTGAAGAGGCAGGTGTCATCCTGAAGTTTCTTGAAGGTCTTCAGCATAATCTGATTCACTGTATACAATAAAAACACTAATACGTATTAAAATAACTGAAAAAAACATTTATGCATAAAAGGCCTCTCCGTCTCAAAGTCCCGGGCTGAATTTCAGTCCCAGTACATCCCTGACCACTGGTATTATTGTAGCATAGCTAATTTAGTTATGAATTTGAATAAATGTATGGGAATTAATAGCCAATTATGAATTTTAATATTCATAAAATCAAAATTTTTCCTCGTTTCAGGGCACCACCGGAGTTGTTATAATCCTAGAGTCTCCGGACCTCTAGGTAGCTTTTAATAATTATACAATTATTACTAGTGATCAGTTAGTTAATAATCGCTCAATTATCTTAAATCAGTCAGTCAGTCTCATATCTAAAGGGTCAATTCTCTTGGCAGGTACGTAGAAATAGGCAACACACACAGTTCTTGATTATATTACAGTGAATTTATTCTCTAACTAATGCGATATAAAAGGGTGGTTAAATACAGGGAAAATAAACAATTGCTGAACAATGATAAATGGAGGTTCGATTGTGGGAAGCATTTGACTCATACGGCAGAGGAGAACTAATGAAAGTAAGCTATGAGTTTAGGAGTTAAAAGGAAATCTCTGACCACAGAATGTTGTTAGATCTTACTGCTTGTCGACGGCCTGCTTTGGCCTGTTGCACAGGTCCCACACTAGCTGCCCGATCCTGGCTTTTTGCTAGGGATTCTCCGGGGTTCTCCGTGTCTGAAGAAAACGCCGTCCTCCGTCTGGCAATTCGGCTGTTTGCAGGTTTCCTTCGTTGCCGCTGCCGAGACCACGTGGCTTGGTCTGACCTCTGTGAAGCTGACTCGACGAAAAAGGCTTAAAATGGAACTTGGTCGTTCCTGAATTAGTCCAGTGTAACTTAAACGACTGATAACTTTAACAAAACAAAAGAAAGAAAGAAAATAAAACAAACTGAGGAGCAGATCGATGTCGCGGCACTTCGCGTGTGTAGCTTCAAGCGAACAAAGGCCGGTTGCTCTGGCCGAACTCTTAGGGCGTTGCCTGGCGAGGCACGCCGGACGCGTGCCGAAGCGTCCAGAGAGCAGAGAGCCGAGAGAGAGAGGGAGAGAGGAAAAGAAGAGCAAACGACGTTGCGTGTCGCACTTTTGTTGCCTGGGGCGTGGTTCCCCAGAGGGCGTTTCAGGTTTCCCAAGGGACTGCCTTTCTAAACTTAATGTCTAAAAGAGAAGAAATATATTTGTGCGTATTATAATCAAATATTTTCCACAATCAAACCTCAATGGTCGAATGGTTGTACTGTTCAAAGTTAAGCATTTGGTAACAGGAAACAATTGTCACATTATTGGTCAGGATATTTATACATTTAACGGCATTTCGAACGATGGTTATTTCGTCCACTTGAGGGAGCTCAGGTTACATGAGGAAAGCTTAGATTAATCCAAGGTCATCTCTCCTTAGGAACCAGGGAACTTAGTTATTCAGCCTTAAATTCAAGCTGGCGATTAAGAGTATAGTAAGACATTTCTTTATCATCATTTCTAAAGGGATTTTGTAGGAAAGTATTATGAACATGCATTGATTCCATTAGATGAGGGAGTGTCTTGCTGAAAATAAAAACACTGCAAAAGTAACTTATTTAGATTCTTTTCAGCACTAATATCAACAACAGATAGCAACAACATGTTAACATAGCTACTCAAATAGAGGAAGTAACTAAAGATTTAATTAAACTTAATTAAATGCTTTGAGTCTTTGGGGACTGCAGTCTTTGGTTATTTAAAGTTCGGTTTCCTGGGTTATGGTAGGTATGATAGGCTGTTCAGGGAAATGCTAATCGCTGGTTCGTGTCCCTTTGTCAGTTTAACAGTCAGGCCCCGCGTTATCAGCTTCGAAATCAAAAAGGCGCCAGTTTTACGATCAACTGCCCAGGCATAGCACTTAAAGAAAGCAACTTTCACCCCCCCTTCCGTTGGGGTCTCCCCAGCAGTCCGTTGAAAGTTGATCTCCAACACCCCCTGCGCCTCTCTGGGAGAGGGAAAGAGGAATTTGGAGTAGCTCCAAATTTATTCAATATAAAATGCACAAATCCACACCGTTGTTTCACTACATTATACAAAGTGTTAGAGTCAGTGTTTTTAGCCCGCAAGAAATGATGTAACGGTACAAAGCGTGATTTGTTTATACTAGTGTGGTGTCCGAACCATAATGCTGCGATGATGTGTTGAGAAGAAACCCGCTTGACACTGTTCTTGATCATAAAAGTTTATTAAATCAAGGAGTTCAGCATCAATTACAAGCTCTGCAGCAGCTTGGAGAGTGACCCAGCCCGTCTCAGTCTCTGTAACTTGCATGACCCACATAATATACAATAATGCAACATAACGAAGCAGGACAACAACAGTGGAAGACCCGTACAGTAGGCAAAGTTACAGTAACGTTACTTACTATGGTCTAATTGTTATACTAAAGATTCAGTCTAGCTCACTAACCGTTTTCATTATCATCCAATAAATTAAGCTATGCTTACATTGCTGAGCCTACACAAATAGTTATTGAAAAGTCAGCAGTCAAGCAAACACTGATGTATCATGTTGGCTAAATGTAGTCAGTCTAAGATTGTCATGAAATAAGCATGGATGGCTGATAATATTACTGTAAGGTTCCAGTGGGCGTTTACCTGAGTTTCCAGCATGTTGTGTGAAGCTATCTCCGTTCGTCTGTCTCTGTGTAAGAATCTGCTGCTCATGAGTTTGAGCATATGCGCGAGCACACGCTTGGGAAGGTAGTGGTTAGAATCTAAAAACTGCATCGCTAGTGGCCGCTGAAAACTACATATAGCCCCTTTAAGTGATAATCATACAATTGTACGTAAAGTGAGTTCTGCAGTGTAGTTTTAGTGTTCCTGCATGGTATCTTTTAAAATTATTATTATATCAACCCTCTGTCATTTTAAATCTAACAAAGCAAGCCATTGAAGCTGACAGGGTATTATAATCCTGGTGGGGATATTTATGTCCTTTCACCTGAATGTTCCTTGAATAATTTGTGACACTGACGGGGAGAATTATCTGAAGCACATAATGACCATGGATGGATAAACCTTTCCTAAAGTAGGCTTGTACATTTGTAGATGTGTTTGCCCAAATTACGAACAATATTTTCTCACCATTTTCTGCATGAAATGGAATTTAGTTGTGGCACTCAAAGCATTTAGAAATTACATTTTAACATAAGCAGCAACAATCATTTCCCAAAACAATGTCCCTATTGCACTCGGCCAACATGAAGCATTTCCAAGTTTTTTTAGTTTGTCTAACATGAATCTATGCATCTACTCTTCAGTTTTATTCTAAACAGCTCTGTACACTGGCTGTGTAACAGCTCAAGTTTCACTAGTGCCTTCTCTTGCAAATCATGTCCTATTTGCTTGGATTTCTCCACAGCAGAAAACAAAACTTCAAACTTGTAAATGAGGTTGTCTTTGAAGTTTTAGAAGTTCTGTTAATCTGTTCTGTGGGAGTTTTCCTCATCCTGAGCTGAGGGTCTGATGCAAGGTTTTCACATACTGTTTCAATTTGGCCAGTTATGAAGCCCTGTGATTACTAATAAACGAGAAGGAGCGAAAACAGTTCTCCATGCTCCCAGACGCATGGGCAGGAGCACACAGTTAGAGCACCCCAAATAACAAACTCTCAGTATAGAGTGAGTCATAGAAAAACCAGAGACATCCCACAAATAGAAATGAATAAAAGAGCAGGGGAAGTAAATAGATTATTAGCGTAGTTAGAATTAGAATACGTTCTCTTTCAAATCACACATCTGAAGATATTAATGAAAAGTTTGTTCTTGCAGATTCTTGCTTATTATTAGCTATGACCACTACAGAAAGATGCAGATGAACATTTAACAACATTATTAGTGTAATGATTAGTGTAATCTTTTGTGAATCGGACCTTGAGACAGAGCAGATAGTGGTTGCAATTGATACCCAATTCATGCTGTTATCAGCGGCTGCAGTCCGTTCTTTGTTAATATGCCTCTGAGTGCTTCCTGAAACAACTAAAATGCTGCATCACTAGAAGTTCTCTCTGTGTTTGAATCAAGTATTGTGATGTATTGTGTATTATTTTTACTCACAGTTCAGTGAAGTGTTTTTCTGTCTCCTCTCCTTCAGTCTGACAGACATTGACGCTGGTTTACCCTATGACAAGGAGTCTATGGCCATAATCCACCTGAACAACAGTACGGTCATGTACCTGAAGGAGGTCACCAAGTTCCTTGCTGTGGTTTGCTTCCTTCGCGAGGAAAGCTTTGAGAAGAAAGGTCAGTCCGTTTACAGTCAACCCATTTACATGCACGTTAGAAATTAACAGTGTGTTTCAACAGTTAATTTAATTATAATATTATAATAATACTGAACATTGAATTAAAACGGAGGCTCTACTCTTTATTTACCCATTGGTAAATTGTAGTATGGGAGCTCCATTTACTTTAATTCATTCCTACACACGCGCTTCCATCAGGTTTTTAAAAAAAAAAATTATTTTACCTGTCCTGCAGCCTGGTATAGAGTATGAGGAGCTGGATACCATATTGTGCCAGACAGATTTTACTTTAACAAGGGAGTATTAATATACCCCTTTGACTGTTTTATTATTTAATTAAATTGATTTGTCACTGGGCGGGGTCACAGACATGGAGATGGGGGGACACAAACAGCACAGAGAAAGGACAACACCTGCGAGAGAACGAGGATGGGGGCTTGGGGCGGAGAAAAACAAACAACAATAAACAAACAAAACAGGAAAAAGAAGAGACAACAAGCCCAACAGCAGCAATAAACAGCTGGCATAGGAAGACAACTGAGAGAGAAATGAAAACGAGAAACAGTCAAGCAAAATAAATAAACAACACAGCACAGCCATGAGAGCTGGAATAATAATTAATTTAAAAAAGTAGCTGAAAGGAAAACATCAAGAATAATTCTACCAGGGGCAACCTTTGTTTGTGTTTGTGTCTATATGTGAGACTGTGTGTGTGTGTGTGTGTGTGTGTGTGTGTGTGTGTGTGTGTGTGTGTGCATAAGCCACAACCGACTCCAGCAACCGGCAGGCAAGAACCCCAGTAGCCAAACGGGGTGGGAGAAAAAAGTTGACTCCCAGATGCACACGTGGTATCAACGTGAACGCGGAAGACCCCGACCTGATGAACAGATGCCAAAAAACCGACCATCCAAATGCCAGTCGACAACACAATGCCGACGGAATGCAAAAGGCAGAACCCGCGAAAGAGCAGCGGCCGTATGAAGGCTTTTTAATGCAAGCAAAAAAAAAGAGTTTTGAGAGAAAATTTATCACACTGCAATCATAAATCAAGTTTCTAAGTAAAAATAAACAGGCCTCTTTGTTACACAAAAAGATTTTATTGCTATTGAAATTATTTAAAAATTATTATATAAAATGATTATTATTATTCATATTATTTTATTGCAAGTCAAAAAGTTTTGCAAGTTAAATAGTTTTGCAAGTCAAAAAGTCAGCCACTGCACACAAAACGTGATGATGTTTATCTGGACCCCTTGGCCCATGCATACCTGTTAAATAAAAAAAAAGAGCCGTTAAAAAAGAGGTGTCAAGTGTCAATGTAGTAATCAGTGTACGTTATGTGTTAATATTTACTATACTATAATTATATATTATTAATATAGTATATTTATACTATAATTCCTGCAAATATTTATTATAATATAATATAGCCTAATGATAATAATAAAGCAATGTTTTAATTCATACCACTGTTGAATATTTTATTTCTTCAAAAGTGATTTTAAGTTTCACAAACCAAGAATATTCTGTAATGTTACATCACGAGCCAGATGTATCTCGATTTAAGTTAAAACTTTACAACATTACTGAGAATTTAGTGATAGAAAAACAGCAGTACAAACATTAACACTATCTTTCAGCTGTTGCTGGACACGTCTGCTGCAGTGGTCTGTGTGACTGGACCTGAGGGAGCTAACCGGAGCTAGCTGGCTAACCATCACAGGATGTGTGCCTAAAGTTATTGATTATATGCATGTAGACCGGTTGACCCTACAGCGGCATACATCGGCCGCTAGCGGATAGGGTTAACCTCCATTGTGTTGCTGTGCAGCCTCCGGTAACGTTACTGGAGCTATATAACACCCGTCTGCACTATGGTCGGCACTTGCGGAGCTTCTCAACTCCGGAAACGTTTGAACACATTTTCGATTCGCCGATAACTGCCGATATTCGAAAGCTACACAGTTGATTTGGGGGATTAATAAATAAATAATAGAAACCTGGACAGAGACTTCATTGCTCATTACGTGGTCAACACTTTCTCTCACACACAGCAGCCCACTACTTGCCCCAGATGTGTGTGATACTGCCACAAAGTTTAAGTTTTAAAATTCTGAAATAAACCAACCAAGACTACTTATCAAGGAGAGACGCAACCTTTATGGTATCATATTAATTATTATTTATTATGTCGTAATGACATTCATGTTGTAGAAAACGGGTTTATTTTAGTGTGTTTGTCTTATTAATATAATGTACATTTGTGATTATTATTTACTTTATTCACTGTACACACACAGATTACACAGTTAGGATCTGATCTGATTTGATTCACGGTAATGGTAATAGTGAGCATCTTGAACCTGAAACCTCTCAGGGCACGATGCAACTGCCTTTGTCTAAAACGCGCCTCAGCCCGCCGTCCTTCTTTGGAACTATAAAGTACCAGCTGTAAAACCCGGACTCCTGGTCTGGCAGGGAAACACGTTCTATGGCCCCTCTGACCAGCAGAACCTGTACTTCCTATTCCATAACCCGAGCCTGTTCTGGAACCACTATAGTCGGCACCACCCCAGCAAACTTGGGGGATAAAAAAACCACTATCATCAATGGAACTCCAATACTACAATTCACCATGGCAACGGGTAAATAAAGAGCAGAGCCTCCTTCCTTAATCAATGATAAAGTTGTTTCAGTGCAACTGTTGCCAACCTGACAGCTGCCTTAATGTCCACAGAGTCACAGTGTTATAAAGGAGGACAGTGTAGCCTATAGATTTTATTCTGTGCTGAGGAAGAATCCTAGATGTCCGGAGATATCTTTCTCTGTCCATACATCGATGACAGATTAACTGGGATTTACATGTTTTTAAAGACATAAACTTCTGCAGATGAATGCGTTCCAAAATGTGCTTTGATATCAACAGTATGAATGCGGAAAGAAAACAGTGTGTCAATCAGCTTCTTTTAGGCTCCGCAGGAGGGGAGTTTGATGAAGTAAAAGGGTTTATCTGATCTCAGTCTCTGAAACAGAAGAGTTTCCCTCATCTCGGGCATAACATACTCAGAGTTTTCACTAATCCCACTTTCTGAAAAGGTAAATGTTTATAACCGAATCGGTGGTGTCTTTAAAACCCTGTTGTGTACGCAAGTACACTGCACTTCACTGCCTTTTTAATACAGCAGTGTTTATATACATGCAGTACTTACATACACATCGCTGGTGATTGGGTAACACCTCTGACACACCCACCAAATGAGAGAGAAGGTACTTCAAAGCCTAACGCACACCATTGCACACCGTTTTGGGGAAGCATGTTGTTCATCCCAGACACCATAGCAAACCGGTGAAAAATGTTTTGAGATTGAACATGCCCCACATTTCACTGCAAGAGAAAAATTACAAATATGACCACAGGGTCACAACAGTTACTGCAATTATCTACATTGAGCTATCTTTCAGAACAGATGATCAGAGTCAGTGGTTATCTTGTAGCTGACACGGCCTGGATTTGATTCAAACCCACTATGTACCATACCTATAAAACTTGTCTGTGGTCTTGTGTCTCACTGTCACCCAGATGAATCAGAGCTGCTCAGCAAGTGTAAGGCTACATACTTTTAATGTACAAGGTAGGATTATTAACATTTTACAACACAGCGGTTTTTGTATAACTTTTTAAACAAGTTATGCAACTGCTCGAGGATTCTGCCTCTTAAAAGGAAGTTTTTCCTTGCCTCTGTCGCCTTGTGCTTGCTCTTGGTGGGAACTGTTGGACTTCTGTAAATAACATAAGAAAGCAGGTTTAACAAGCTCTGAGCTTAACACTGAGCTCTGAGTTGACTGAGCCTGAGATGTGAAACTCCGAGTTTTTGGTTTCAGAAAAGCCGATCAGAATAAGTTTAGTCAACTCTGAGTATGTTGAACCTGATGGAAGTACGTGCGTGGGGAAAAGCCATCATCAATGGAGCTCCGATACTATGATTCACTGTGGTAACGGGTAGGCAGTGCCTCCGTTTTAATCGGTGGAGCTATAAATATGAATGTGCGCCAATGTGGACCATGATAGGCTATTTATGTTAAAACACAGGTGTGGAGGAAAAATCAATACGTTAACAATATTAGCTACATTTTATACAGCGTTGCTCATTCATCATTTACCACAGTGGGATTTTCTTGGAATGATAAAGTGCTGGAATTCTCCTACGGCCCATTACATTCATTTTAAATAGGCTACAGGCCTGTTTATTCAGCTGGAACCTGACGGGACTAAATGCCGGTGGCAATAACTGAAGATGAAATTATTAATGGAACAGATTAGACACAGTTTAGGTTACTCATGGACCTGTGATTGTAAAGTCACAGTCCGACTCAGTAGGCCTATTAATGATTTTTTTGCAGTGTAAAATGTGTCTAGGATCAAACTGACTGTGAAGTTTTAGATGTCTATTTTACATTAATAAAATCTTGCTCATTTCGTATTTTATGAAATGCTGTCAAAACACATTCAGACTATCAGCAGATAATGAAAAACTCACTTTTAAACTACATTTAGCCACATTATCTCTAGTATGATAAATACGATAGGAATTACTGTTCATTAATCAGTTTTGTAAAGATGAGTTGTTGCAATAATTTAGGTCACAGTAAGTATTTTTGTGCAACTGTTGCACAGAGCCACTGTGTTATAAAGTAGGACAGTGTAAGATTTTATTCTGTGCTGAGGGTAAATCCACAATCTCCAAAGAAAACTCTCTGTCCATACATCGATGAAGGATTGATCATAAAAGTGGTCATGTTCAAGATCATGTTTGGGTAAAAAAACTATTATCTGACCGGGATACAGCTGTTTCTAAAGATGAAAATTGTGTTCCAATATGTGCTTTGATATGGACAGCATGAATGTCAGACTGCCGCTTCAGGCTCTGCAGGAGGGGAGGAATCAGAGAGAAACTCAGTGTTTGTTGTTCACAGCGTAAGTTGCTGGGGTTACTGATCTAGAGTTTATCTGATCTCGGTCTCTGAAACCGAAAACCCAGAGTTTCCCTCATCTCGGGCTTAACATACTCAGAGTTTTCAGTAAATCCGCTTTCTAAAACAGGGCCCCGCTCTTTTATGAGAAGCGTTCTGAGATAACTGATGTTGTGATTTGGCGCTATATAAATAAGACTGAATTTAATTAAATACAAAATTATATATATGGTGGCCCAGGAGATAGCACTGTGGCCTCACAGTAAGAAGGGCTTAGGTTCGATCCTTGTTAGTTTATCTTGTAGGCTGAGGTGCACAAAGTTAAGAAGAGAAGACCAAAAAAAAACAAATATGCAAACCCCTGAATCCATAAGAATAAAGCAAAGTGTGTGATGAAATGATAGTGAGGAAGAAGACTGTTTTCTGTTCTCTCTTAAGCTTCATCATTTTATTTACTACATTCATCACTTTTCATTTTAAAATGTATTTTGTTGTTGAAGCCTTTTCACAGATAAATATAATGCTGCAGTCTCACTGTGAATGACACTCAATTATGAAAAATAAAATAATAAAACAAAGATGGATAGCTCTGTGGTATAAACCCCAAACTCACAAGTTAAAGTAAATGTAACAAAAACGTAGAAGAAGAAATTGGCATTCCAACAATTGAAGAATCATGTTTAATCTGGCAGGACTTAAAACTTATAGGAAGGCCCTCTGTAATGCCAGGGCAGCCTATTTCTCATCATTAATAGAGGATAATAAGAATACCACCTGGTTTCTTCTCAGAGAGAGAGTCACAGCTCTATTGAGCCATGTATGTAGCCCTCAGTAGTACTTCATCAGCTTATTCAGTGATAAAATTATAATTATTAGAGACAAAATTTAGACCTACCCTCTACTAGCACAGACTATATCTTTTTTTTTTCACCTTATTACAAACTATTTATTTTAGTTTTTGCTTAATAATGCTGTTTTGACCAACAATAGTGTATTGATTATTGACAAATATAAATTGACATTTAGCTCACTCTGTAGGGCGAGAGCCTGCAGGACTTAAAAATCAGGCAAACACATAAAATAAAAAGTGTGCAACGTGTTTCAGCGTCGTCAAGGTAACGTGATAAAGTGGCAAAGCGCTGTCCTGTTCCTGTTTACAGCATTTTGAGCCCTTGCAGCCTCTTGCACTCAATCACTTTCTAAGTGACGTCAGTAAAGTCTGTGAGGGTTCAGGGCTTAGGACTTCGGGGGGACATTGGGATTGAGCCAGTCTCTCTCTGTTGGCCAGCTGCTTCAACCCCAGCCTTTGTTCCTTTGTTTAATTTGTTGCACCCACCAACATGCGTTGCACTTCATTCTCACTCATCTGACATGACTGATGTTCCTTTTTTCTTCTTTTTTTTTTTTAAACCACAGACTATATCTAAACTCAGGAACCTTAGAAACAGCTGTAAAACCTGATATATATTTAGACTACAATCTTCAATCTTTACCAACTAACTTCACTAATTTCCTCATCTAAACCATCAACCTGTCTCTTAGACCCCATCCTGTCTAGGCTGCTTGAATAAGTTTTACCACATGTATGTACCGCAGTACTTTAAAGTAGCTGTAATTAAACCTCTTCTGAAAAAGCCCAAACTTGATCCGGATGTTTTAGCCAACTATAGACCTATATCTAACCTTCCATTTCTCTCTAAAGTTCTGGAGAAAGCAGTTGCTAAACAGCTGTGTGACTTTCTACAGAGCAATAGTTTATTTGAGGATTTTTTAGTTTTAGGATACTTGTCATGTTAGATCTTAGTCCTCCATTGACCATGACATCCTATTACAGACACTTTAACATTAAAATGGCATTATATTAACAGCTGGTTTAAGTCCTACTTATCAGATTGATCTCACTTTGTACATGGTTTAGGGTTAGCGATGATGTTGCTCATATCACTCTGTTAAGCCCCACCCACCAAACCCACAAGCAGGAGCTGGTTGCCCTGTAAAACCTCCTCCTGCGTATGGCTCACTCTCCACAGTGAGTCTTGCCAGAACCCCAGTCCTTCTCACATCGACTCGTTTTCTCAGAGATGACCCTCCAATAGTTTGCGTCTTACAAATAGTTTCTTAGACGTGTTTGCAAAACGTCTGTAGCCACACTTACGAGATTGAGGTTGACTTAGTGAGAGCATGTGTGAAGAGGGGGGCTGCCCCTGGCTCTGATAGGTTGTTTTGACCCGGTAGTGGTGGCATTAGGAGTAGCCAGAGGAATCAAATATTTTTTTTACAGAGTATCTGTCTCATGTAGTACTGTAATTATATAGTGACAGTTTTAGCAAATATCACAAAAAAATTGCTGCTGCTTTTACTCTTTCAGTCTTGTCTCTGTCCCTCCCAGGACTGATTGACTACAACTTCCACTGTTTCAAGAAAGCCATCCAGGAGGTTTTTGATGTTCGAGTAAAGGTTCAACAAAATCGTAAACTCCTCAATCAGAGGAGGTGGAGCAAACTGACTGTGACCAATGGAGTACTCAGCAACCCCCACTGAGGACATATCAAACAGCCAAATATACCTGAGCTGGACCCTGACAAATCCAGGAGACTCCATCCTCATTCAAAGGAACACATTACCTTTTTCCTTACTCTGTTTTTCTCTCTACTTTTTACTTCACTTTTTAAAAACTTTTATCACAGTACTCTTTAGTGGCATGTAGCTCAAGGTACAGTATAGATTTATTTTTATTTGATTACAGCAGGTTGTAAAGTTAAATTGAGTTTGTAACTCCCTTCTGCTACGTAGCAGACAATATACATTAATATAAAAGCAATCATAAAAATTGTAAACATAAATAAACTATATCCAGTGGAGCAGTATTGAGGATGAATTTAGGTTTAAGCCTGATAGTTTGGGGGGAAAAGCTGCTCTACAGTCTGGTGGTTCAACTTCTAGCTCTCTTCCCAGAAGGCGGCAGGGTGAACAGGCTGTGGCTGGGTGGGTACTGTCCTTTAGTATCCTTTGGGCTCTGTAGGTACCTCACCTCACCGATATCACTGATGCTCAGGAGATGGGTACCAATGATCTTCTGAGCAGTTTTAATCACCTGCTGCAGAGCCCTCCGGTCCTGGGCCGTGCACATCCCATGCCAGTTTGTGATGTTTCCAGTCAGAATGCTTTAACTCCTCTGTCAAAGCTGACAAGAACTTGGCCTTCTTAAGCTTCCTCAAGAAATACAGTCCATTCTGAGCTTTCTTCACCAGCGTGGAGATGTGAGGTGACCACGTCAGGTTCTCTGTGATGCTGATTCCCAGGAACCTGAAACTCTTCACCTGCTCCACCTCAGCTCCACTGATGTGGACAGGTCTTTATCTCCTTTTTCCTATAATCAATAATCAGCTCCTCAGTTTTGCTGATGTTGAGCAGTAGGTTGTTATAAGATTATCAATTTCCTCCTGATATGAAGTCATTGCTTGAATGATGTCAGGGGATTCAGTCTTGGGTGTACAGTGTGAACGGGAGGGGGCTGAGCACACAACAGCACAAGAGTTCATGTCACTAACTTAACAGTAACACAACATTCACTCAGTATACTGTATAACGACCATAAAAATAACTAACAGGTAGCATTACAATTAGTGTCACTATCGTCTTGTAAAAGTCTCTTTTATTTATTTGTTTATTTACTTAGATTCCATTACAACAAAAAGAGTAGCATTTCTTCCTTGCATGGATTGTGCTACCTTACAGTCTATATCACAGAAATCAATCAGAAATATTTAAGTGAACCACAGTATAATCTACTTCTGTTGTACTGACTGTATTAAGAGTTTTGAACTTGGTATAGAGAAATGTAAGTTAGCAATTGTTAAAAAAAAAGGTGTAGTTTAATATGATATCCTGTGAGACAAATGAGTGATGGACTGTACTTCAGTCAGGATACTCGCCTTAAAGTTTTAACCATTTATTTCAACTATAACACCATTTGGTGGTGTGACTCTGCTCCTGTGATGCTCTGGGTCAAATTGCTGTCCAATCCCAATCATGCTGGCAAAACACCCTATAGTTAGAGATATCCCACAGATAGAAATGAATAAAACATTTTTATAAACTTTCTTTAAATCATCTGTCCGTCCATCCATCCATCCATCCATCCATCCATCGTTAACTGCTTATCCTGTGTACAGGGTTGTGGGGTCTTTAAATAATTTTAATGCATATTTATTCATTAATTACTATTCTACTATTCTTTAATTGTTATTTTTGTATTTTACACATTTGAGCCCTTACAGCTTAACTTAAAGCCTCTCTGAATAAACAAACACCCATTTGATTAACTTTTCCTGAAGTGCTCAAAAAACCAAACAATTTACAATCATTTGCAGCACACAAAAAGAACCAGGGATAATGAATGGAGATATCTGTTTCTGCAAAAGAATGCCTCAAATATGTTGTACATCAGGAATCATATTAATTAATGGGCTACTTGCCTTTCGCCCAGAGATGCTCGATTGAGTTTGAAATTGAGTATATGATTTGAATTAGCAAATATATTGATTTTCTAGTCGTAGAATTAGGTTTTGTGGGGAACACAGTGCAGGACTATAGACCGACGGCCTGCATAGGTCCGGAACAATAGTCCTGCAGGGTTCCTTGCAAACTTGGACAGGATGGCAGGGAGGGAAACAGATGATAGCAACAGTATGGAGTTTAGTGAGGAAGAGGGAAATTACACAGATAAGGTGGGAGGGAAAAGGTGGAAATATGTGGTAAGACAGAACAGGAACGCAGGTAGGTTTAAGAGAAAGAAAAACACATCTAGTTTAAGCGAAGCAGAAAGTGAGGGAAGAGAGAGTGAGAAGAAAGAGGTGTTGGGGGGGGGATCGAAGGAATAATGCCAGGGAGTTGGAAGGAGGCTATAATAATTCCAATAAGGAAACCTGGAAAAGATGTCAGTAGACCTGGAAGCTATAGATCAATTGCCTTGACATCTCATATCTGTAGGAAAGAGAAATGGTGGTTTCATACCAAAGCGGTCTTAGGAAGGGAAGGAGTACAATAGATCCAGTGCTGGGGCTAGAAGATGAAATAAAGAAATTTCAAGTAAATAAAAAGACAATGGTTGCAGTATTTTTCAACGTGGAAAGAAAGAAGAAAACGTAGCTCAGATAAAATAGTAAAATCACAATAATAAATTGTCAAATTAGAGTGATAACAGTCTGTACTTTGTTTTAAGACTAGATGTGTGAGTGTGTGAGGCCCTGTTCACTGAAACCTGTGGTAAAAATAAATAAAAATAAATAATTACAGGTTCACAATACCCCATAGATTTTCTATAGGGTTAAGGTCAGGCCAGTTTGCTGGCCAATTAAGAACAGAGATACCATGGTCCTTAAACCAGGTACTGGTAGCTTTGGCACTGTGTGCAGGTGCCAAGTCCTGTTAGAAAATGAAATCTGCATCTCCATAAAGTTGGTCAGCAGCAGAAAGCATGAAGTGCTCTAAAACTTCCTGGTAGACGGCTGCGTTGACCTTGGACCTCAGAAAACACAGTGGACCAACACCAGCAGATTACATGGCACCCCAAACCATCACTGACTGTGGAAACTTTACACTGGACTTCAAGCAACGTGGATTCTGTACCTCTCCTCTATTCCTCCAGACTCTGGGACCTTGATTTCCAAAGGAAATGCAAAATTTACTTTCATCAGAGAACATAACTTTGGACCAATCAGCAGCAGTCCAGTCCTTTTTGTCTTTAGCCCAGGCGAGACGCTTCTGACGCTGTGTCTTGTTCAAGAGTGGCTTGACACAAGGAATGTGACAGCTGAAACCCATGTCTTGCATACGTCTGTGCGTGGTGGTTCTTGAAGCACTGACTCCAGCTGCAGTCCACTCTTCTCCCCCACATTTTTGAATGGGTTTTGTTTCACAATCCTCTCCAGGATGCGGTTATCCCTATTGCTTGTACACTTTTTTCTACCACATCTTTTCCTTCCCTTCGCCTCTCTATTAATGTGCTTGGACACAGAGCTCTGTGAACAGCCAGCCTCTTTAGCAATGACCTTTTGTGTCTTGCCCTCCTTGTGCAAGGTGTCAATGGTCGTCTTTTGGACAGCTGTCAAGTCAGCAGTCTTCCCCATGATTGTGTAGCCTACAGAACTAGACTGAGAGACTATTTAAAGGCCTTTGCAGGTGTTTTGAGTTAATTAGCTGATTAGAGTGTGGCACCAGGTGTCTTCAATATTGAACCTTTTCACAATGTTCTAATTTTCTGAGATACTGATTTTGGGGTTTTCATTAGTTGTCAGTTATAATCATCAAAATTAAAAGGAATGAACACTTGAAATATATCTGTGTGGAATGAATGTATACATTATAAAAGTTTCACTTTTTGAATGGCATTACTGAAATAAGTTTTTGATGATATTCTAATTATATGACTAGCACCAGTAAATGCTAGGCTAAGCTAGCGAGTTCAAGTGCATGGGCCTGGAACTAACACAATTAGCATTGACTGATGAACAGTGCAGTTAGCCTACTGTTGTAGACTTCAACTAAAGTTAATCTGTTTGACAACTCAATTGAGAGAATATAAAAATGCCATAGAGTGTTTAATTGCTCAATGTTTTTTCTGGCTGGTAAAGCTACTGTTTAATACTGAAGCTTCATAAGTTGTGTTTTGTCAGAAATTTTATTTCATTGTTCACGGTGAATCTGTTGCATTTGCCCTGGAGTTTTTATTTTCTGCAACATTGTTCTTTATATTTAAAAATGTATAAGCAGTGTTAAGTTAAAATAGAAACTTGAATCTATTTTACTCAGTAATTCAATTGATGTAAAAGGTATTTAAAAAATGTTGATTATTGATGATTATTTTGGTTAAACTTAAAGGAATGAACACTTGAGAAACACATTTGAAAAGGCAATTGACTACTGAACTATCCTGGCCATGTCAATGACTGCAGGCCAGGTTGTTTTTCTTTGAGCTGAGTTAAAGTTGATGCCGAGCCAACCCAGATGAGACCTCGAGATCCCTGGATTGAAGATCCCTGAAGTGAGGAACTCTGAGCTAAGGACTACTGATCTTACCCCTCTCCTGCCATGGTGGTAGGATAACCAGCATAAACTGCACAAAACCAGCACCACTTTTACACTCAACTTCCAGCACCGCTTACACAATCCCACACTTTCAAACTCAATTTTTTATTTTATTTTTTTTCTGCAGAACTGAGAATTCATTCAGTTTATATGGCGTATTATGATGTCCTAGTTATTGTGATTTTGGCGATTGCTTATACAGTGTAAAGTGAACGATTATGAAGTTGATGTGAAGTGGTAATATTGAAACAGGTATTGTTTAATGTCATTCATGATGTGAATATTGAGGATTGAGATTTTGAGTTATTGATAATAGGGTGCACCCAGTAAGAAAATAAGAAAAATTGTTGAAAGAAATCAGTGATTTTAGCCCAGCTGAGGTAATTATATGAACTCAGTGGTTTCAACCTTACAGAAAGGTGACAAAAGAAATAGTTTGTTAAGGGAGAGAAACTGAGGTGTTTCGATAAAGTGAGCAGTATATTGAAGCTTTTATTGTTTTTTTTGCTTATTGTTTAAAAAAATACAAGGTACAAGTTCACAACTCACTGTCTTGTGTGGTTACTGAATATTGCAAGCAACATTCTGCTCCCTGCCGAGTCTAGCAAATTCTGATTCTGGTCCAGTTTGGCTGTAATTTTTAATTTACCCTCTGTAATTATTAGTAGTGTTAGGCGCCGGGTGCTACAAAATCTTTCAGCTTGTGCCATTTACAACAAGTCATATTTCCTTCACCAAAAGAACGTCAGTGTCACACTGAGTTAAATCTCGTTTTGTAGCTTTTCTGTCAGAATTGCCTCCTTTTCTTCCTGCAATCAGTGCCTATTAATATTAATGAGGGGCGTTTCACTTACCATTTATAGGCAACTATAGGTTTTTGCAGGGTCGGACATGAAACTTCCTCACATGCGCCACATTTCAAGTTGAATGTGATTTATAAAGGGAACTTGCTTACAGATGTGCGTACAGTTTTATAAGTCAGAATATTTTTTGGCGCACACCATTTTTGACTTTTGGGCATACGTACACTTTTATTGAGGATTCTACACACAGTTTTATAAATGAGACCACTGGTCTTTCTTACTTTTCCTTGTATAGCCTATATGCGTACTAGTCATAGTGATCTAATAATGGCGTTGACAAACTTGGTTGGAAAAAAGGTACCACTTCACCTATCTGGCTGTACTTTGGGTTTAGGCCTAATGAAAGAGGACTTTGCGCTCATGTAATCGAAAAGATGGACAGACTTGACCATTTGCGTGTGAACAGATTGTCCTCATCTCAGGGTCCAATACCAACGCTTTCAGAAAAAATGACAAAACGTAGTTATTTGACACCAAAGGTTCCCTTCAGCGTCTCAGAGACACATCCGGAAGCGTCTCATACAGACCGGAAGTACTAGCTTGCTAGCTAGCTACGTTCGTGTTAAAGGTGTTGACAGCTCACCGAAGCCCCTTACCCTTACCACAACCATCAGAAATGTTAGTACCTATACCTAAGTTACTGACTTTATGTATGTATGTCGACCGGCTAACCCTACAGCTATACAGGTAGGGTTAGCCTTCGTGTTGCTGGGATGTAGCAAACAGTGGCGTTTCATACGGACGCTGAAGGGCTCCTTTAGTGTTAAATCCTCTGAAAGCATCAGTTATGATGCATTGAGATGAGAACGTGTTGGTGTGAACCATCACATGGAATACACCACATTGCCACCATGCACAACTGGCCCTTGCAAAACAGGGTCATTATCACTATAATGTGCCTTTGAGACTTCATAATTCCCAAAAGAAAAAGCAGAGATTTTCCATTTAACTTTATATACATTTTATTAAATAGATCTTAGTTTGTTAGAAATGCATGTTGGTCAAGCTCCAGCACTTTTTATAAATTAATTGCATGCCTATGAAGTATGAACAAAATGCAAAATATGTCCACCCTGTCATCTGTGATATTTGCGCTTCCAAATCCAACAACAAACATATCTGGTCAAACTGTCAAACAATACTATTTGGTCTTTATTTGTTCATAAATAACTCACAACAAATTAAGATTTTATACTATGTGAAAATAATTTGTTTATTTTCATAAAACGTGGAAATGACGTTTATTTGATGATAAGATTATCAAATGGCCTGCTGGCACCAATATTACTAAACAAACTCCATATTGCCCACTCCTACTACATTAAAGTAAAGCATATATGTGTGTGTAATAACTGTTTAAATATGTAAAATTATAAGAATGTGGGGAAACTAAGTCCATGTAATGTAACATGTCCACCCTGTCATAAAAGGATTAATGACAGGGTGGACCAAGACAGGGTGGATATTTTTTCACTAAAGTTAGCATTTAATGAGCACATGGTGGACCCTCAGTTAGCTAAGTTATTCATTTTGAAGGTGACTGTGTAATGTGTTAGCAAATAGATGTTGAATTTCTAAAACGTTTTTCTAATAATTAATATTTCACTATGACAGGGTGGACATGTTAAGCTTAACAACATCCAACTACAAACACAAAATTGTAGCAGACCTCGGCTACGTAAAATTTCAATACAGTTATGAAAATTAATATTTCCAGGAATAGTAATTTATGCCTCGAAATTAGGAGCACCACCTAAAGATTTGCTTGTCCGCCCAAGTCTTTAGGTCCTTGAGTATAGCCTGAGAATTACACGAATTTCTGGTAATTCATTAGTTGTTAATGGTTCAGTTATTCTGAAATCGTAAGGTCAATCAGTCAGTCTCAGATCTGAGCATAAGTTCTATGTATAGGGACTCTAGATTCTGAATAACACACACACATGCATCGCTGTGCTCAAGGTGAATTTATTAACTAACAAAAGAGGGTACAATAGTGGGTAAATGTGGTGATATTACAGGGTAACAGTTAATATGACAACCAGGAGGTACTAAAACAGGTTAGCCTATGTAAGGTTCGATTGAATTTCAGTTTATATTGTAGAGGGAGAGAATTCTATGAGTATGAGGGAACGAATGACCAAAATTGGTCTTGCCTTCCCTTTAATCTCTCTCTCCACAATATCGACATTTGGAAAAATACTTAGTTCTAAACATTCGGATAAAGACAGTTAAAACAAGGCTAAACACTATGGAAAAAGGTTATAATGGTTATATAAAACGTAACAAAGCTTGATCACCTGTCCTCAGTATACTTGCTGGTTACTGGTTTTAACTCGTGAGACAATTTAGATGTAAGCGTGAAAGTAAAATTTTGTTTATGCAATTACATGGTGATAGTTAGGCCTACATAA